TATCATAATCGAAAACTTCAATTCCGCCCTCACGCTATAAGATAATAATTTCTTTATTATATTTATAAGGCTTTACCTTTAATTTTAAGTTATTTAATTAATTTAACGTTAATTCGGTATTGGTTTTAGTTTTAATAAATTCTTTTAGAGGTGGGTTTTCTTCTGTTAATTTCGTTTATTATTGTTCTAACTCTCGTTAATCGATTTTCTTTATAGTTAACATTCTTACCGTTTCGATTATTAGATTAAGGAAGACTTCCTTAAGAAGGGCTAGCTACTTATTTTCGTCTTTTTCTTCATAGAGTAAGGCCATTATTGCCTTATCGCTTTAAGCTAAGTATTCGTCGACTGCGTTAACCGTTTATTCGATTATTTCTATTAATTCTATCATTATAACGTTTTCTATTATTTCGTTTTATTCGAAAATAAAAGTTAAGACCTCGTTCTTTATTTTAATTTCTATTTTGGCTTTAATACTAACCTATTCCAAGGCCTTTTCCTTAGTTTAATTGATAATTTCTTTTTAATTATTCTTTCCAATCCTTTCCTTCGATAATAATATCGATACTTATGAATACCTCCTCTTACCTTAAGGTTAAGACGATATATCGTAATAGCTTAATAGTTCGTTGTCGTAACGCTCGAGGATATTATCTAATTTCATGTTTATCTAAGCGATATATAATGTAATCGTTATCGTAATATATAGTCTAATTATAGTACGCGTAGCTATAGGGTTTTTAATTCTAGAACCTTTCGCTTAAATCTATATTTTTATAACATATAAACTTTCTATAGTTAAAGTACTTAACCTTACTTTTATCCTTCCTCTCCCTCTCTTTCTTTATCACGTTAATATCTATTAGTTTAGAATAGGGTCTTAAAGTAATACTTCAGGGCTTAGGTTTATTTCGTCGCTTAAGGATATTGAACAGGAGCAGCGTGGGCACGCTGACGGAGGCACGAAACGGCTACCTAACTGCCAACAACTGGCCCAGTGCCGATTAACCAAGATCACAGCTGTAAACAGCTGTAATCGGTTGATCGGCCAGCTGAAAACGGCAGCTAGGAAAGGGGAGACTGGAAAAGGGCAACGAGGATAGCTAGAAAGGCATGGCAAGAAACGAGTGAATGGCTGTAGGTCCTGATGTCTATAGGTCTAAGTCTAACTGATGAAAATATGAGTGCGCGACCCATATAAATAGACATCGAAAAGGCTACGTGGCCTAGATCCACCGCACCACTACAATATAAGTAGGTCCCTTTTTATCTTCTTATTTATACTTATACTATCGATTATGGATCTTTATTACTATTTATATAAACTCTTCGAGGGTATCTAGATAGTCCTACCGGTATATCTTGTCCTTAGCTCTTTTCTTAAGTCCGTTATAGAATATTCCAATTAAGGCCGTATCGTCGTAATCGGTCTCCGCTACTTAACTCTTAAATTCGGTAACGTAAGCGTAAGCCTATTTCATTTAAGCTTCCTAACCTTCGTTTGGCTATTCGAGTTCTATTTAGATCTCTAAAAATTACTCTAATCTTTTATTTAAACGCTTTATAACTCTTAAAGATACTCTTCGTTTCTTTCTTTATTTTTCCAAGGTCGTTTTTATTAATTAAGGAATCTTTAATAATAGGTACAAATTAATTATTAACCTTACCTATAAGGCTTTAGGCTATAATTAAGATTTATTAATCGGGTTTCATAAAATACTTCTCGTAAAAGTATAAGAATATTCTCCCCTAAATCAGGAATTCTTTTAAGTTTCCTAAGTTATTATAACTTTAAGGTTACTTCAGTTTATATTCTTTAATGTTACGGTTTTAAGAGCTGTTCGCTAGGTAAAAGCCGTATGTTAATAAACTAAAGCTAGACGAGGAGAAAAAGGAGAAAAAGGTACGTCGTATAGGCCGTACCTATAATAGCTGGCCTTATCCTCCGTAGGTACTAAGGGCCTGATTACGTACTATGTCCTGGTACTAGCCAGGGCCTTATTATAGGCATAGCCTATTATATAAGGTCCCTTCCCGGAAAAAAAAAAAGTACGCCTTGCCGTCCTTTTCTTCGGCGTTTAGCCCTAATAACTTAATCCGTTTTCTCCGCGCGCCTTAGAATACGTACCGTATCCTTAGGTGCTACCTCCGTTCCCTGGGGTACGTTACTCGTTCCCCGGATTGCTAACTCCGCCTTTTAGGGTGTTAATATATCCCTAGGCCTCCTCCTTTTCCTTCGTTCGTTCGTTTCCCGGGGTATTAATACCCTCCGGGTATGGCCTTATCCTTTTTCGTTTCTTCCCCGGCGGTTATATTATACCCCGGGGTCTCCTCTTCCGCCGTTTCCTTCCCGGGGCCTTTCGTTTCCCGGGGTACTATACCGGACGCCTCTGGCCCTCCGGCGTTTTTCCCCCGGGTCTTACTCTTCCCCGGGATCTCTTTCGTAGGTTTCCGTTTCCCGGGTTACGTTATCCGCTTCCCGGGCTACTATCTTCGTTCCCCGGGGTATTATTATTTCCCGGGGCTAGTCCTGATCCTCTTATTAAACCGTAGAGCTCTAAAGCCCCGCGTACGAAGTCGCGTATGGGCGCTTACTAGGTCTAGCCTAGCTCCCGTAGCTACGAGATCGTCGGTTTATCTACCGCCGTTTAAAGACCCTCGTTTATCTTCCGCTAGCGGATCCCGTCGGATCCGTTAAAGGACGTATTAAAGTACGCCGTCCGATTCGTTTAAAGATTATCGTCTATCGTCCGCTAACGGAGTTTAAAGGGCTCCGCTTAAGGGCGTACTAAGGCGCGCCCTTCCGTCTATTATTAAAAGGCCTAGGGCCTCTCCTACCGTTTAAAGGCTAGGGGCCTATCCTTCCGTTTAAAGGCTAAGGGCCTATCCTTCCGTTTAAAGGCTAGGGGCTTATCCGTACTACTAGCGGAGCCGCGAGGCTCCGCCGGAGGACGTGCTAAGGTACGTCGTCCTTATTCGTTTAAAGACCATCGTTTATCCGTATACTGCTAGCGGAGTTAGAAACTCCGTCCGAAGGCGTACTAGGCGCGCTTTCCCGTTTATTACTAAGAAGCCTAGGGCCTCTTCGTAAACCGCTAGCGCCTTTAGCGCCCTTATCGATACTACTAAGAGACCGGTAGTCTCTCCGAAAACTGCTAGTACCTCTAGTACCCTTATCGAAGTACTATTATTCTAACGCCGTTCCTTCCTTATGTTACGCTTCGGGCGTTCTTAACTCGCGCTTCGGGCGCGGCTTAACTCGTCGATAAACGCTATGCTCTAGCGCTTTACTATCTTTCTCCGGAAAAAAATTTTCCGCCGTTTTCAGCCGTATTTTTCGTCGTTTTTATCTCGAAATTACCGTTTAAATCTACGTTTTCTCGGGACTATCGGTCGTTTCTTTAGTTATTTTATATCGGTTCTCGTTCGTAAGTACTACCGGCGCGTATATCTAAAAGCTAATACCGCCTTTCCGACTATTAACTTTGCCGTACGGTATCGCCTTTCCTACTGCTAATCCCGCGTATTAAGATATTAGTTTGCTACTATCGTCGGTCCTCTTCGTAGGGGCTACCGGCGCGTATATCTAAAAGCTAATACCGCCTTTCCGATTATTAGCTTAGTACCGCTTCTTTAAGGGTTATATCGCTATTCCTACTGCTAATTCCGCTCGCTAAGATATTATTATTTCCGTAAAACGATAAAAGAAGATTAGTCTAGCTTTTTGTTACGGTTTTAAGAGCTATTCGCTAGGTAAAAGCCGTATGTTAATAAACTAAAGTTAAACGAGGAGAAAAAGGAGAAAAAGGTACGCCGTATAGGCCGTACCTATAATAGCTGGCTTTATCCTCCGTAGGTACTAAGGGCCTAATTACGTGCTATGCCCTGGCACTAGCCAGGGCCCTACTATGGGTATAGCCCATTACATTTAACGTTTAATAAGGTTATAAGGTTATTACTACTTATTAATATTAGATTTTCTAACGTAAACATTTCGTTAGTATTATCGTCGTTAATACTTAGATCTTTAATGTTTCAGGTTAACTCCGCTCCTTCTTCTTCGAGACTTTCTACTTATCTAAGGCTACGAAGGTTCTCCTCGGGTAGCCTTTCGTCCTCAGAAGAAATTAAACTTCCTAATAAATTATTATATATTAAGGTTCTTAGTTATTCTTTTAAGGGATTACTTCCCGATTATCCTTTTCCTTAAGAAGTATTACTTATTCCCTTTCGATACTTAATTTTAAAATTAAGGAGTTATTAAAATATTATAACCAGGCTATATTTATTAATAGTAATAGATAATATAAGTACTTATCTTAATTTATTAAGGAATTAGTTATAAGTTATATTACCTATACTTTATATACTTCTTAATCTAACGGATAAAGATATATATTAAAAGTAAACTATATACTTAAGATTAATAATTAAAGAATTAGGTGAAAACTACGAAAAAAAATAGATTCTTTAGTTTATTTATATGGACCTTCTTATTTAACGAACGTAGTACTTCTAATTCTCGTAATATGGCTAAAGGCCGTACCTACGGCCTTAAGCCACAGAGCGTAATTAAAATCTTTTACGGCCTTAAGCTGTACTATCTTAATACTAAGTCTTTACGCTTAATAAGAAGTAGAATAACCTTCTTCTACTTTCCCATTATGCCTTATGACCTATATAGGTTATTACCCTTACAACCATAGTTTCTAATATTATATAATATGATTTAAATTTTAATTAATCTTTCTAGAGATTTTATTCATTTAAACATAATAAACTAGCTTCTAATTATTTATATATACCGGTTACCTTTCCATAGAAAGTCGTAGAATGTTTTCTATATTATTATTACATTTAATATATTTATAAATTATAATTATTTAAGTTTTTATTATATTTTAATAATTAATGTAATTATTTTTATAATTATTTTTAAAATATTTATTCTTCTTTATTTCAAAAGCAGGAAGTATTACAATTTTACAGAAGTTAACAAAGCTTAATTAAAAGAGGCTAAAATTGCCTAACGTTCACTGGAGCGTTGGAATAAAATGACGCGTCTTTTACCTCCTTGTATGGGTTCCGAGTCTCAGGGTACGCACAGCATAGCCTACCACAACCATGTCAACCTCCCCCCGTCCACGTCATCCCGCCCGAGTCCCAGCCCAGCTTCGATACGCGTCACAAAGGGATGTGATAACTTTCCACCGGACCAGAAAGAATTTAAAACCAACAACAACCATCATCTTCTTATTCTCGAAGTTCTCGTGCCATCACAGCATTAGCCATCTCTCATGGTTGCGTTTATCCTCTGATCACGCCCGTTGAATTGTTTTGGACCCCCCGTCGTCGTCTTTTTTTTCTTTTTTTTCTCTCCCACCGAGGAATATGGCTCCAGTGCCAGTATTAGATGGTTCCTTTACTGAACATCCAATTCGCAGTGCTACGGCGGTCGTAATCGCCGTGGGCCCAGAAGTTGTTGGACATACTCGCCGGCTCCTTGCATCCCGTCGTGACCTGACCGTCGCCAGCGACGCCCAGAAGGTGACCCTGGGCGTCATCGCAGCCTACGTCGTCGTCATTGCTATCTTGTGGAATGTGCCGTATGTGCGCTGGTCGCTGTGGCCCTTCAAGGTATACGATCCCAACCGGTTAGCAGCTTGTCCTCCGAGGCCTCGATTATTGACCCCTGTTCGCCAGATGCTTGTGATTGCGTTTCATGAATTTGGTCATGCCGTTACAGCTTGTTGTACAGGCGGGCATGTTAAATCTATCTCGCTCGACCCCCATGAAGGAGGTGTTACCCACATGGTCGGAGGAAAGGGCGCTATCACCCTGCCTGCTGGTTACCTGGGATCATCACTCATCGGCGCCCTGCTTATCTTCTGCGGCTTTAATATCGTTGCAAGCAAGATCGCCAGTCTGATACTAGCCGTGTGCTTCCTGTTGACATTGTGGTGGGGGAAGAAGGACTGGCTGACAATCTTGACCATCCTGCTTGCCGTGGGGCTACTTGTGGCCTGCTGGTTCATCGTCCATGCCGAACCCCTGAGGTTTGTCGTTTTGTTCATCGGCGTCATGAGCTCCCTGTATAGTGTCTGGGATATCGTAAGTACCGCACGCCCGTACGCGCTTCTTCCTATGATGATTAATCATATCCCAGTGCGACGATTTAATCCTCCGCAAGGTCAACAGCTCTGATGCCAGCGTATTCGCTCAACGCTACGGTGGTTCCTCGCAGTGTTGGGGCGTCGTCTGGTCGATTATCTCCGTCCTCTTTATGGCTGCCGGGATCATTGCCGGCATCGCCGCATTCCCTCAATCCTTCGCACAGCAGGAAGAGGATTCCAAGAATTTCCTGCCGACTCGTTAGTGAGATACCCCAGTAATTCAGTTACAGCTAGCATCAGGAGTTTAGGGGGTTTTGAATCTTGGTGTTGCGAGTTTCCGAGACCTCGTTTCTTTAGGTCCGACGGCGTACCTGTGTAATTATTTAGTTTCCTTATCTATAGTAGATACCCCATACAACTAAGTGTTCGAGAACATCAATCTAGCTTGTCTGGCTCCGTTTAGTCCTCGTCTGCTCTCGTGGTGCGCCTAATTAAACGTGTATAGCACAACTTGTCTCCGTGGGCGGAACGGAAGATGTAAGCAGGATGAGTATAATTTGCGTTTACAGAGTATTCGAGAACGGTTGTAGGGTGTCCTATGAACCCCTTTCAAAACACGAGTATCGCCATCTGCCCCGAGTGATAATGTAGCGTGACCCGCAGGCTAACATCTAGGTACCGACGGGTAGCGAGTGTACAACGAACGTGTCTTCGCATGCGAGGATAAAGATATGGCGCCTGTTTACATACACGCAATAGTTGCTTTTTTGGGGGGGGGAGGGGGGAGGAGTTAATCGAACGTTCATACCTCTTAACTTAGTAGGTTATATGACTGTTCAACTAATTCTCGCCCCCCGCTTTCGAACGACTAACCTATTCCATAGATTTAGTACCTCACACGACACATCTCAACACCCCCCTTGCACTCTTTCTTTCTTGATCTAGACTTCAGGTTGCTGGGTCGATATTGGCACTTAGTAGCTCTGGCTTGAGCCGATCTGGTAACTACCCGGCCCGCGCCCTCGCTAACTGATAGTAGTGATGAAGGTACGATACTGCTCATCCTCACCCAGTGGCCTCACCATAGGCCTCTGCGGTGGTGTTGCAGTAGAAGATGTCTTAGTCACCCACAGCACTCCAGGTTGCTGGGTTTGGTTTGCTGGGTCAGTCTTTGGTGTGCTGGTGCCATCCTCACCCAGATCCTCCTTATCTGCCCTCGGTAAACGCATTGCGAGTAGCACGTATTCGGCGCGAGTTGTGTTGTTCATGACATCATCCATGTATCGCTGTACGTCTTCTCTGGGTGCGACAACCCTCGTTAAGATTTCTAGATGCTTAGCTGATTGCGCATGCATTCGGATTGTCATGGGCTGATAGAAGTCTAATGTTGGATCGCCCCCGATTTCTAATTTACTCCCTCTTCGTATGATGAGGAAGGATGCGACAACTTGGGTGGGACTGGTGTATTCAAGAATGCTGTATCTCGGGAATAGATATCTGTCTCCGGTGCCACCAGAAAATTCGAGTACGATGGCTGATATATCGGGTTTTACACAGGGCGGGGGCCCCTTTGACCGCAGGGCCTGCTGGGTTGTAGTAGCATGGATGGGTTGTCCAGACGGGGCGAGGGATAGCTTCCGCGAGGTAGCACCATGTGTCGATGTAGGGCCTTCTGAGCTCTTCGTAGGAATGGTCTGAGAGGACCCCGTCGTTGTGGTCTGAAGTTTCGTTGGTCCTTTGACAAGTTCCTTCAACCTGTCAAGAATCGACTTCAAATCAGTCGTGTCAGTGAACCGGGTCTTTCCTTCGGCTATCCGCCGGATAATGTCCCTCGTGCTCGGTTCGTCTAACGCCTTCTTCACGAGAAGAATTACTAACGGGTCACTCCCAGGCGGCACCCTTAGATCGCTTGACCTCTGCTGCGAATTAGATGTAAGGACGATGTCCAGTATAGTTCGAACCTCATCGGCGAAATACTTGACCGTCCGTCCATCTACAATGAGTCGATCCGCCGACGGTCCATGTTGACCTCCCTTTCTCTTATAGTCGGCAGTAATCTGATCGATGATCTTTTGAAAATGAGCTAATTCATTTGGTGCGGCATCTCCGATGGCAACACGCTTCATCAGATCCCTAAGCTGAGGGTCTTCAGAGGCCCTCTCAGCCAAGGTCACTATTATGGGGTCAGCGCCAGGCGCTGTGGGCGTTGCCAACTTCGTAGTCGTTGTAGAGGACTTAGTCCCTGTAGGAACGGCCGACCTGTGGGTGGTTGTGGTGGCGGCTGGGCTATGCACGTGCAATGGCCGGTTTGTATTTACGCCAGGCGTTGAAGGCCCATTCAGTTGGGAACCAGTTGTGGAAGGGGGACATGGTGGATGGTGAGGAGCGGCGAGAACGGACTCCAAGCCTCGAGGAGAAGCCGTAGGCTTATGGGTCATGGTTGAGGAAGAGGGGTCCTGTGAATCCTGTGCGTGGGCTTGCATAGAGGACGGTTGCGATTGAGGTTGGGCCTGAACTTGATCTTGCGCCGCGGCTGACGGTTGGGTTGCTGGTTGAGTTGATGAGGTAGGCGAAGCCGAGGCAGACGGCGCAGCTACACTGGACACGCCTGGCTTCGGAGGGGGGGGCATGATGCCATTGGGGGGACCATACTGCATGATAGGCCGAACAATAGATTTGGTGGTTGAGGTAGACTTCGGATCCTTAACAGCATACAGAGTAGCCTCAAGAACTTGAGGTTCGACAATAATTGTGGCCTGGCCTATTTTTACCATGCTGTCCTTGGAGGGGTTGTTGGGTTCTTCCTTGACGAGACCTTTCCGCTTCGTAGGCTTCGTCCAATATCTCTCGAACACACCTTCGTGGATCCACTTCTGCCGCGATCTTGACAGAGATTCAGCTAAGACACCGCTGAAAACATACTGTCGTTAGAATGTTACTCACGTATGCAACCGTGACTAGTCATAAATGAGCATACCTTTCTTGGATGGACTGGTAATCCTTGCTGGGGAGGTCATCGGGTTGTGGGTGCTCCACGGTCGGCAGCGGATTGCCGGCTTGAACAGCCTTTGGCAATGACGGCTCGTCAGGAACGTTGTCGGATGGTACTGGAATCGGAACCGGCGGTGCCTGTGTAAGAGGTCGCTCCGGGGGCGTTGAGTTTCGTTTTTTGGAGACGTGATCAAACCGAGCGGCACCTCGTGCCGGCAACTTTCGTTTTCTCTCCATTGACTCTTAACTGTGTACTAGAGGTCGCTATCGATATAGGCGGGTGGGTACCGGTACCGGTAGCCTCGTCAGAGAGATGGGAGATGCGAGAGCATGTTGGGAAGTTGATGAACGCAATTCCAGCAAGTGACTACGTAGAGCCGTAGGAAGAGTAAGGAACAAGCCATAGATAGGCTTCAAGGTAACATTCAGGTAAGAAGAGAGTAAAGGATAGAGGGAGATAGCGAAATAGACTGCGATAACTAATAACCAAGTTAAAATTAGAACATATTTATTATTATTATTATTAAAATAATATATTTATTCATTAAGTAGTATATACTTCGTTAAATACTATTCAGAATTATATTAATAAAATTTTATTAATATTTTATAAAGTTATTAATTTTTTAATTTTTACTTTAGTTAATATTTCTAATAAATATTATAGTAGTATAGTAAGACTAAGCTACGTAGCCTTTTAGATAAGTATTTATATAAGTTTCATACTTAAAATTTCATCGATCAGACTTAAACTAATAGGTATTGTAGTAGTGTGGTAGATCTAGGCCACGTAGCCTTTTCGATGTATATTTATATAGGTTGCGCACTTATATTTTCATTAGTTAGACTTAGACCAGTAGCTATCATAGCTATTATAGTAGCCATCAGCTATTTACTCGTTTTTTGCTATGCTTTTCTAGCCATCCTCGTTACCCTTCCATTCTAGTCTCCTTTCCCAACTGCCGTTTCAGCTGGCCGATTAACCGATTACAGCTGTTTACAGCTGTAATCTTAGTTGATCGGTACTAGGCTAGTTGTTAGTAGTTAGGTAGCCGTTTCGTGCCTCCGTTAGCGTGCCTACGCTGCTCCTATTCAATAGCGACCACCTAGTAGCTCGACCTTACCTCAGCCTTAGGAGCGACCTTTTAAACGACCGTTTTTATGGTTAATAGGTTTAGGATACGCCTATCAGGAGATTCCCTGATTTTTAACTAATTAGGGGCTATTTTCGCGGCTCTAGAGCCGTTTTCGTAACTTTTGGTCTGAATTTTCAGGTCATAGTTTCGTAGCCTTTTCAGGTAGCTGGATTGATAGGGAGTGTAGATAACTATGGCGACCATCAATAACCACGCTCTCCCATCAGCTCTTAATTAGCTTACCTAAAAGCTCGTTCGCCGATTAGTTGTCACGGTTTTAAGAGCTGTTCGCTGGGTGAAAGGGTGTAAATTAAAGGAATAAAGCTATACGAGGAGAAAAAGAAAGAAAGGTACGCTCTGCTAAGGCCGCGCCTCTAGGAGCTAGTTATATGCGGGAGGAGCGGTTACGTACCTTAATACTATGTTAACTAAGGTTTTATAACTAAGCGTAGCCTATTATATAAGCTCCCCTTTCCGTTAATTAAGATATTCGAATCGTTCTTAGTTAGTAGCGCTTTTTCTTTCCTTTTTTTTTAATTAATTAACTATAATGGGCTATGCCCATTGTAGGGCCCTGGCTAGTGCCAGGGCATAGCACGTGATTAGGCCCTCAGTACCTATAGAGGATAAGGCTAGCTATTATAGGTACGGCCTATACGGCGTACCTTTTTCTCCTTTTTCTCCTCGTTTAACTTTAGTTTATTAACATACGGCTTTTACCTAGCGAATAACTCTTAAAACCGTAACAAAAAGCTAAACTAACCTTCTTTTATCGTTTTACGGAAGTAATAGTATCTTAGCGAGCGGAATTAGCAATAGGAACGGCGATATAGCACTAAAGGAAGCGGTAGCTAGCAAAGTTAGTAGTCGGAAAGGCGATATTAGCTTTTAGATATACGCGCCGGTAGTACCTACAAAAGAAAACCGACGAGACTAGCATATCTTAGCACGCGGGATTAGCAGTAGGAAAGGCGATGCTATACGGCAAAGTTAGCAGTCGGAAAGGCGGTATTAGCTTAGATATACGCGCCGGTAGTACCTACGAAAGAGGACCGATATAAGATAACCCGAAGAAAACGACCGATAATCCCGAGAAAACGTAGTTTAAATAGTAATTTCGAGATAAGAACGACGAAAAATACGACTAAAAACGGCGGAAAATTTTTTTCCGGAAAAAGATAGTAAAGCGCTAGAGCATAACGTTTATCGACGAATTAAGAACGCCCGAGGCGTAATATAAAGAAGGAACGGCGTTAGAATAGTAGGAAATACGATAAGGTTTCGGCTAGAATAATAGTACTTCGATAAGGGTACTAGAGGTACTAGCGGTTTACGGAGAAACTACCGGTTTCTTAATAGCATCGATAAGAGCGCTAGCGGCGCTAGTAGTAGACGGGAAGGCGCGCCTTAGCACGCCCTTAAGCGGAGCCCTTAGCTCCGCTAGCGGAAGATAAACGATGGTCTTTAAACGAGTAGGAACGGCGTACCTTAGCACGTCCTCCGGCGGAGCCTCGCAGCTCCGCTAGTAGTACGGATAGGCCCCTAGCCTTTAAACGGAAGGAGAGGCCTAGGCCTTTTAGCAGTAGACGGAAGGGCGCGCCTTAATACGCCCTTAGGCGGAGCCCTCGCTCCGCTAGCGGAAGATAGACGATGGTCTTTAAACGAGTCGGACGACGTATTCTAATACGTCTCTTAGCGGAAGATAAACGAGGGTCTTTAAACGGCGGTAGACGGACCGACGATCCCGTGGCTACGGGAACTAAGCTAGACCTAGCAGGCGCCCTATAATTACGACTTCGTACGCGGGGCTTTAAAGCTCTACGGTTTAACAGGAGGATCGGAACTAGCCCTAAGGGAGCAGTAGCACCCTAGGAAGAAAGAGAAAGCCCCGGGGAATAGCAGCGCCCCAGGAAACGAAAACAGTAGCCCGAGAAGCGGATAACGTAACCCGGGAAACGGAAACGGCGGAGGAGGAGATCCCGGGGAAGAGTAAGACCCGGGGAAAGAGCGCCGGGGGGCCAGAGGCGCCTGGCGTAGTACCCCGGGAAACGAAAGGCCCCGGGAAGGAAACGGCGGACGAGAAGGAGACCCCGGGATATAGTATAACCGCCGGGGAAAAGAGGAAGGAGGCTATACCCGGGGGGTATTAATACCCCGGGAAACGTACGAACGGAAGGAGGCCTAGGGATATATTAATACCTTAGGCGGCGGAGTTAGCAACCCGGGGAGCGAGTAGCGTACCCCGGGGAACGGAGGTAGTACCTAAGGATGCGATACGCATCCTAAGGCGCGCGGAGAAAACGGGTTAGGTTATCAGGGCTAAACGCCGAAGAAAAAGGACGGTAGGGCGTACCTTTTTTTTTTTTTCCGGGAGGGGACCTTATATAATAGGCTATGCCTATTATAAGGCCCTAGCTAATGCTAGGGCATAGTACGTAATTAGGCCCTTAGTACCTACGGAGGATAAGGCTAGCTATTACAGGTACGGCCCATACGGCGCTCCTTTTTCTCCTTTTTCTCCTTGTCTAGCTTTAGTTCATCAACATACGGCTTTTACCCAGCGAACAGCTCTTAAAACCGTAACATTAACCTTCCTTTTACTTTACCTCCTACTTCTCCTCCTAAACCTTTCCTTCTCTTATAATAATAATAGTTCTCCTACTTCCGCTATCTTAATTAACGTAGGTAAACCTCTTTCTTTACGGCTATTTATTACTACTATATTATTATTAAAGCCGTATTTCGTTAGGATATAGCTCTTCTTTTCGCTCGTACGTTCCGTAATATATTCGATTAATTTCTAATTAACGTAGTATTAATAAATATCCTTTTCTTCGTTTCCCGATCCCTAAAGTTTCTCCGCTCCTACCTCCCGTTACTTAGCGCGACGTCTTACGCTTACCTCTCCCGCCGACGAAGGTAATAATAATAACGTAAGTAAAATCGCCGTTATAGCGGCCTTAGTAAGGCTAACCTTTCCCGTTTCGTTACTTCTTTTACTTAGTTACGTATTAATCGGTTTTATAGCGAGAAAGCGCCTCTTCCCTTAGCCCTAAGCCCGCCGCTTAAGAGGCTACCGCCTTTCCTTAGATTCTTATTATCCCGCGCGCGGCTACCGTCCCGCGTACGGCTACTATCCCCCGCTTAGCCGCTACCTACCCGGCGGACGCCCGCGTCCTTTCTTACCGTTACTACGTAGGCGCCTTACGTACTTACTATGATAAAAAAGGCCGGGGCCCGGCGTACGCGAAATACGCGGCTAATAGGTATAGTTATTAATCGCTATAGGTATTACGTATATCTTTATATAAGTAGGTATTATTAATATCTCCTAGCCCCGCCGTTACGTTTTCCGCTGCTTATTAATAAGTAACCGGCCGTACTTCCGCTAGCGGCTCCCGCTTACGGGACGTCCGCCGCCGAACGCTTACTAACCTACGGCTTAATCGGCTCGTTAGTCTTCCCTTTCCTTTTTTTTTATTTTATTTTTTATATATATATTAACCCCCGTTTTTAGGGAATTCGTAAACCCTATAGCCCGAACCTCCGGCCCGGCCCTCCGCTTTAAAGGAGGCGGGACTATTCCTACCGGTCCGTTTATCGCTCCTACCGGCCCGCTTATTATCGTTACCCCTACCGGCCCGCTTACTACCGCCGCCGCCGCCCCCGACCTTAATAACGCCGCCTTCTAACGTACGGTTTCGGCCTTAGAGGAGCGGATTAACGCCTTAGAGGGCTCCTAATACTCCCGCTCGGGTTCGCCGGCCCGTTTCCCGCGCTACCGCTTACGCCTCCGCCGCTCCTAGCGCCGCTCCTAACGCCGCCTCCGCCCCTTAGCTTCTCCTTTCCTTTTCGAGACGCTAGGTATTAACCGTACCCGCGCGCCCGCCGCTTCCTTACCGCCTGCTTTATCCTCGACGAGAAAGCCGAAGAAGCTAATACTTCCGAGTCCCTTCCGGGGAAGGAGGACGACGATTACGATAACGACGTGTATTAGGCTGTGCCCATTGTAGGGCCCTGGCTAGTGCCAGGGCTTAGCGCGTAATCAGCACCCACGGAGGATAAGGCCAGCTGTCGCAAGTGCGGCCCACAGGGCACACT